TGTCCTGTCCAGGGTGTGTGAGTGTGTGTGTGTCCTGTGATGGACTGGTGTCCTGTCCAGGGTGTGTGATGGATGGATAGTCTGCTGTAAAATACATCCTAAAATCTAGAACCAGGGCGTCCTCCCTGTTGAGATAACAGCGCTGGAGACTCTGAGACAGTGGGGGATCAGCATTGCGAACAGAGATAACGGTGCCGGGGCTTGATCTCGCTCGCAGTGCGCCAGTACAGGGACCAACATCGTCGGCACCATGATGCCGATGATCCGGACGGCGGTGAAGAAGAGGAACGTGGCGCTGGCCAAGAAGTTCCTGGATAAGTCGAAGGGCTGGATCGAGGACATCTGCCACCAGGTGGACCGCTCGGTGGAAAAGTAAGACCCCCCCGTCACCGCAAGCAGCCAGAGACCCCGGGATATCGGGATGCATTCCGACCGAACAGCTTGTTCCACACTCCCACCACCCTTTGTGTAAAGCACTTCCTGTGAGGCTCGAAGTATCCGCTCCCATCCTGTCTGCGGTTTCTTCATGTTAGTGTGAAGTGTCCTGACACCACTGAAGACCTTATTTGACCAACTAGGAGAAAGTACTGCGAGATCCTCTTCTGCTGTTGGCGGCAGTCAAAACTCTTCATCGGTCACCCAGTAGCTTCAAGATCACAGAGCCGAAGTAGGCCAGGGAGCCAATGAGAGGCAGAGTTGTTTATAAGATTAGGTTATGGGCCCTTTATACAGTTTCTTGCATGAGGAACTGGTCTTGTCGCAGAGCCCAGGTGGCTCTCCAGGAGACACACAGACAGGGGGAGAGAGAGAAGCTGGGGGTCAGAGCGCAGGGTCGGCCATTTCTACTCCGTTCTCTCAGGAGGCCCACAGTACAAAAAGACGACGCCCCTCAGTGTGCACGGCACGTCACAAACCGGTCAATAGCGAGTCACAACAGCCCGCCGTCACGCGCAACCCAACACCAAGAACGGGCAGTGCTGGGACAGTAGATGTGCACTACTCTAGCTGTAGCAGTGAATCATTCCCACTGCTGCCCTCTGCTGGCGAACAGGGGGAGGCTCCTTCCCATGGGTCCCAGGCTGCTTTCAATTCAATTCAATTCAACTTTATTGTCATTAAACTAACACAGGTGCATAGTATAATGAAACATGTTTCTCATGAGTCACTCAGGTGCAGTATATCAATAGGACAGAAGATGAGACAATAGACAGCTACGCAAAAGCAATAACAGTAACATGTAATAACATAACATAAATAACATGTTATAAAGTCATCATAACTGTGCAAAATTCCACAAACAGAGGAAATATAACAGGACAAAAACAGTGCAAGGTAATTCTTGGAACAGTGCAAAAAATAGTATGGTTAAAAGTAGTATGGTTAATTAATAAATATAAAATATTATTATGCCTGTTACAGTTTTACTGGGGTATCAGTTTTGCTGCTTTCAAGCAGCAATAATAATAATAATAGTAATAATTATAATAATTGTTTACGCTTATATAGCGCTTTTCTGGACCCTCCACTCAAAGCGCTTTACAGGTCAGGGGGAATCCCACTACCGCCACCAATGTGCAGCCCCCACCTGGCTGATGCTCCAGTCCGCTCCCCACACACCAGCTCTCAGTGGGGAGGAGAGCAGAGGGATGGAGCCAGTTCAGAGAGGGGGGGTGATTAGGAGGCCATGATGAGTGAAGACCAGGGGGGACATTTGGCCAGGACGCCGGGGTTACACCCCTAGTCTTTTCGAGAAACGCCCCGGGATTGTTAATGAGCACAGAGAGTCATGACCTCGGTTTTACGTCTCATCCGAAGGACGGCGCCTGTTTACAGTCCAGTGTCCCCCGTCACTATACTGGGGCATCAGGACCCACACAGACCGCAGGGTGAGAGCGCCCCCTGCTGGCCCCACTCACACCTCTCCCAGCAGC